GAGCGCCTGTTATTCCACCTTGTCGTCACACACACACACACACACACACACACACACACACACACACACACACACACACACACAAGCACACACACATACACACGCATACACACATAGGCACGTACACACACGCACACGCATGAACACAATTTGACACATATACAAACATTTTATATCAATTTATCTATTACATATTGTGTGTGTGTGTGTGTGTGTGTGTGTGTGTGTGTGTGTGTGTGTGTGTGTGTGTGTTGTGTGTGTGTGTGTGTGTGTGTGTGTGTGTGTGTGTGTGTGTCTTGACATGGTGGAATCAGGCGCTCGTCAAATTTTGGGCATTCTCCTTGCGTTAGGGTGAAACAAATATCCATCTATGTTGAATAGAAGTCGAAATATTTGAGATTGAAGGAGATCAGGGTTGCCTTGTTTCAGAGGTGAAATTAACGTGAAAATGTCCGCCAAAGTTAGGAAATTTCCATAACTTGAGAGCCATTGGAAACGGAAAATCGTTAGAATTGTGCGTTTAATTAATGTTTTTCAGTCAAATCCCCACATACATTTGTTTTTAAAAGGATGTAAAAGGTGGTGAGACCTCCCCTCCCCCCCCAAAAAAAAAGAAAAGAAAATTAGAAAAAGATTGCCCCATGGTCAGAAAAATGCCAATTTTTTAAATTTCATTATTTTGACGAGCGCCTGATTTTACCAGGATGCGTGACATATATTGTGCCATTGTGTGTATATGCCTATGCGTATGTGTATGTGTGTGTGTGTGTGTGTGTGTGTGTGTGTGTGTGTGTGTGTGTGTGTGTGTGTGTGTGTTTGTGTGTGTTTGTGTGCGTGTATGTGTGCATATGTGTGTGTGTGTGTGTGTGTGTGTGTGTGTGTGTGTGTGTGTGTGTGAGGGAGATAGAGAGACACACAGAGAGACAAACAGATAGACAGATAGATAGACAGACAGACAAGCAGACACACAAAGACAGAGACAGAGCGATAGTCTAAGACAGAGAGACACAGAGAGAGAAACAGAGAGAGAAACATTTAGAAAAAGAGCTATTGGGGGACAGATAAATTGAGAAATATTTTGAGAGAGAGAGAGAGAGAGAGGGAGAGAGAGAGAAAGAGAGAGAGAGAGAGAGAGAGAGAGAGAGAGAGAGAGAAAGAGAGTGAGAGAGGAGATAGAGGGTTGCATTGCTTGTAAGAGGTGAGATAGATAGATAGATAGATAGATAGATAGATAGATAGATAGAGAGAGAGAGAGAGAGAGAGAGAGAGAGAGAGAGAGAGAGAGAGAGAGAGAGAGAGAGAGAGAGAGGGGGGGGGGAGTACATTGCTTGTAAAAGGTGATCATGCATAATCCAGGGAAATGGTAAAAGGCATTCGTGTTCGAGGCTTCTCTACGCTGATTGGTCCGCTGGTTGTCATGTATAAGAAGCGATACTCTGGAAGTCGTGCGCACATCGTTCTTGTTCTTCAAATCCCTGCACGTCTCTTCTGTGACACCCGTGAGTCTTTCTCTTGTTCATAATATAATGCGCAGGCTGCTCTTCTACGTTATTGCCATTATAATACCGTTACCATAAGATTTCAATCAATGAATCGGATAGAAAAAAAAGACTCTATCCCCCCCTCTCTCTCTCTATCTCTCTCTCTCTCTCTCTTTCCTTCTCTCTTATTCTCTCTTTCTCTCTCTCTCTCTCTCTCTCTCTCTCTCTCTCTCTCTCTCTCTCTCTCTCTCTCGTTTTCTCTCTGTCTGTCGGTCTGTCTGTCTGTTTCTCTCTTGCTATCTCCAAATCCCTTTCTCTCTATGTGTTTGTGTGTATCAAGTTGGTTTTAATAAACAGAATCGAGGCTTCACTGTTAGGCAGTGACTGACAGAAGCCGTATCTCGAAGAGGAATTACTGTATGACAAACTGTGCCCGACTCTCTGCTGTGCCTTGTGATGCTAGACGTTCGCATTGAAAACTATTGTGTCGTATCGGGATGAAATCAAGCGTCAAAATAATGAATAAGAAACCGACATTTTTCCCCGAGTTGCGTAATTTTCGTTGACGCGTTGTTTTGTTGTGGGCTCAACACTTTCATGTTCTTTTAAAAACAAAACACAATTTTGTGTGGAATGTACTGGAAAAACATTGACCAAAGGCCTAAGAAAATTGTTAATGTAAATTTTCAGTTTCCAAAAACACTTTCGCTTTGTAAGTTATCAAACAAAGGTAACCTACTTCCCATGGATTTTACCTCTGACATCTGGCGATTCTACACCTCTTTCGATCACAAATATCTCTATCTGACAGAGATAGATGGGTATGTTTTTCATTAAGAGCTAGACAATTGAAAAAGCTGAGATGATATGAATAAGTCCTGAAATGATATGTTTGGTCAACCTTTCTCTATGGCTGTGAATGCTGGACAATCACTAAAGACAATGAAAATAAAATAGAAGCAACAGAAATGTGGTTTCTTAGGAGACTGCTAAAAGTATCGTGGAAGGAAAAGAAATTAAATGAGGTAGTGCTTGATGAAGCCCACGTGGGACGCTCAATATTAAAAATAATCAGGAAACAACTAATGCAGTTTATGGGACACCTGAATAATAGACATAAGGGTCTTGAACATCTAGCTCTCACTGGCAAAATTGAGGGCAAGCGAGGCAGGGGTTGGCCCAGAACCATGATCGCTGATGTCTGTCGCAGATCTGGCACTGGATGATGATGATGATGATGATGAATAGCCTTGTATTATTGCTCTCTTCAGTTTTACCGCTTCTGTAATGGCCTTTGGTCAGTTTACCAGTACAGTAATGAGCTTGTATGACTGTACTCCTCAGTTTTACCGATACAGTAGTGAGCTTGTATGACTGCACTCCTCAGTTTTACCGATACAGTAATGACCTTGATTTATTGCCCTCTTCAATTTTACCGATACAGTAATGACCTTGTATGACTGCACTCTTCAGTTTTACCGATACAGTAATGACCTTGTATGACTGCACTCTTCAGTTTTACCGATACAGTAATGACCTTGTATGACTGCACTCCTCAGTTTTACCGATACAGTAATGAGCTTGTATGACTGCACTCCTCAGTTTTACCGATACAGTAATGAGCTTGTATGAATGCACTCCTCAGTTTTACCGATACAGTAATGAGCTTGTGTGAGTGCACTCCTCAGTTTTACCGATACAGTAATGAGCTTGTGTTATTGCACTCCACAGTTTGCCAAAAGACGTTCTGTTCCTGGAGGAGCATCATCCGACCGTGTGGCAATACAGCAGAAGGTCTGAAGCACAAAAGAACACTCAGACGTCAGCTACACGAAGGTTGGCCAAGCTCGCTCCTACTTGTAATCACGTTTTCTGTTGGTCTCAGGTAAAAGTAGCCAACTTTGATATCTT